AGACTATACAACAGGACAATGAACTGCCAAGTTTTAATAGAAAACTGAAACTGATTTTTATGCATTCAAAGATGTTGTGCTAAGACAACTGCTTTCTGACCAGTGAGCAGTCTGTTGTGAAGGACTGACTGGTAGGGCTGTGTTTGCCTTGGTTTCCATTGTGATTGTGCAGAGTCGGTCAGTGGCCAAGCTGTGATTGCTGGGATACAGAATTCTACCCAAGCCTTTGCCGTCTGTGTTTTGGATGGAGCGTGGCATGCTGAGCGTCAGCCAGCCAAGATCTTGGGAAGAAGGGCAAATTCTTTCCATTCTGTCTTGAGCCATGAGAGGGTCGAAAAATGTGATTATTTCAGAGTTGAAAAATTTTGAGGAATCTGCACTTGAACATACATGTACATGTACCTTTTGGCATTAGACAAACTGAATGATGACTGAGCTATTTCAACCTTTCCTGTGAGGATTTGTTCCCACGGCTAGAGTCACTATTACAGAAATAGAACCGGCTGATGTATTGCGTCGGGGAGGGAGCGCTCTGTTGGTACGAAGGTGTCACCCATCGGTAGCCCAAGAATTCTCGCAAAATGGATTGCCGCGCGCTCCAAGAATGCAAACATTTTTATCAGCGAATGATCTCTTGCGGGTCGCCGCCGACGTCAAAGTGTGAACTGGTCGGGGAAAAGCTTAGTGTGGGGCCCGAGACATCAGTTTCTGGTCACGTACACACGTGGGTAGTTTGAATGCATCATTGATCGGTCATTGGATCAATTTTTCAAGTGGTAGTTGACAATTTGAACTGTTTACAATTTACCAAGAAAGCTGTCAGCGCAGGTTGAAATTGTTTGTGGTGCATCATGGGAAAAAGTTTGAGTTGTTGATGCCGGATTTTTCTTGTAGGTTTTTTTTAGTGGCTAATGTTGAGATTTCTGAATACATCATGTGTGGTAATGCACCCAAAGGATGGACAATTAAGTGAAGTTATACGTGTTAGTTATACGTGAAGGGTGTCTACTGGAAGTTGAAAAGATACCCGGGTTATTCCAGAAATTAGGGGTCCATGTTTTTTTCGTGTCCCTGTCACGTCTGACATATGATTTTGTAAGTTCAGAACACATATTTTAATTTCCAAGAGTGATGAATTAATGCAAATCACCTGCCAAACAGATAGCAATAGTTTGAAATCAATTCCGGTGATATTTCCATGTCAAATAACAAAGGTCAGATGTAACAGGGACACAAAAATGCCTCCCTCTTGGATCCCTAATTTCTGGAATAACCCACCTCTTTCAAGAAAAAAGGATGCCTTTTTTTCTCAAAGCCTTAGAAAGTGGAGATACATTCACTTTTCAAATGAGTAACCAAAGATTGTATTTATTAAAACAAAGAAGAGTGTAATTCTGTATTTATGTATGCCTGATACATATTCAAATTATGGGCGTCTCATCTACAAAAATCCTGCGTCTTGGGACCCCCCCAATGCGTCCCATCCTTCTTTTCAGCCAAATGTAGGCATTCGTCTTTTTGTTTTTTCTCAACTGATTTAATTCTCCATATATTGCATTGCATAAACGAAGCATCAGAGTCCAATAACGCAAAGTCGAACAGTGCCTTAAGCTCTGTCTTCAGGATTATGTATATATATATGCCGTTCCTGTCACAAATGTTAGAGACACATGTGCTAGGAATGCCCCGATGACAGCATTAATCCATGCAAGGTCTAACGTTACAGTATTTGACCGTCTCGGTGTGTCGCACATGGGGCACTCTGAAGATTGTTTCATTTACTGTTCATAGAAATTCAGACTGCATCTCATCCCGAGGGAAGCTTTGTTCATATTGCTTAATAACGACAATCAAAATGCGATCAAACATCCTAACAAAAATGGGTGCATGAGGGATCATAAGCTTCATATATGGAATACACGGGCAATTCTGACTGTCACAACTGAAGAGAGGAGTCGTTAATTCCTTTTTGCTTTCTGACTTAATTTACCGCCAGTCTCCCCTCCCCGCTCCCTCGGGATCGGAAGTGCTCGCATAGCTGGCAATCCATTACATGTGCTCCATTTTTGTCTGTTCCCAAAACCTCATGTCAGAAGTGCGCACAATAGCTCTGATCATGCAGGATGTTGTTGAACTGGGCTGGTCTTTTCTAGACAAATTCAGATCAGCTTCAATTTGTGTCACTCTTGTCCGATGTCAGATGTACTCGGAGATGACAACTTGAAGTTATATCCAATGCTGATACCTAATAACGGGTTGTCGGACAGTGGTGCAAGTTAAAGGTCTAATCTGGAGAGGAAACGTAACCCAGCTTCAGGGGCAGTGACCTCAAACAGACAAAAGAGTCCCTCAATTCCCTCTTGATGTAAGTTGGCTTTCTCTGCACCAATTTTAAACTGATTTTTAGTGCATCGATTGTCTGATGTTCTCAGCTAACCAGGAAAAAGAGAAATTTAGTTCACTTTTCTTTATGGAAATAATGCCCTCCTACATTTTGCTAAGCCATTTATTCTTCAAATGAAATTAAGTCTCAATTCTAACGGCATTGCTTTATTAATTTTAGTGCTTGGGCGAGCTTATCAACAGAAGCCCCACTTGGCTTTTCCAGGCATCATAATAAATTTAATAAATTTTTCTTTGTTTTTGGAATCATCTTCTCTGGAAAAAGGATTAGAATTTATTCAAACAACAGGCTACCCACAGAAATTTCCTCAAAATGATCGGAGAGTGAAATCTGTACTTCACTTTTTTCTTCCATTTGTGCTCTCTGAAGATTTTACAAGACTTGGGTCTTGTAAATTTTACAAGCTCATGGTGATGGTGTGCAGATTCTTTCCCAGAAATTTAAAACCTCTGTATGTCGAAAGCAGTGATGAGTTTATATGTGCAAGGAACATTCCTCTGGATCATTTTTCACACTTGTCGGCTGTAGTATTTATTTAGAGGAATATTTGTTTGGAGCTGTTTGGCTTGATGGATCTTAATAGTTTGTCACAAGGGCCCCAACAGTGAGCTGCAGTATCAGGTGCTGTTATGATGGGCGCTATATTTCACACCTCATTTGGCCGCACCGCTGACTGATACAGTAAACAGCGGCTGACAAGGTAAGCATGCAAGGGGCATTGGACGGCCTTGCTTTAAAGGCACAGCCGCCGTTTACTGTGAGAGGGGAACAAAGCGTGAAGCGGCAGGAAATCAGTTACAGGCGGTGTTCGTCAAACAAGCAAACATGCCTTCTTCTGACAGATGTGATGATGGTGTGGGATAAATAGTAGTACACCTAAACCTTTTCGTACACTGATATTTTTTTTGTATGTTGCGAAAGGGTGCGCTGATTTGGGTCAGTGAGAACATCAGAAGAGTTTGGTTTTGCTCCAGAGTGTAATCAAACTCTGCATGTTTTTGTAAATTTCTTGGTCACCCATGAAAAAAAACTTGAGGAGTGAGGAGTGCATCAAAAAAAACCTTGTTTGCCTTTTTTCATTCAACTTTTTGTTTCAGAGAAGTGTATTTGTTCTATGTAAAATGAGTTTGGATCATAACCAACTCTGGCATACATGTACCTTAACACGATGGGTTTCTGCTTGGAACCATATTCATGGTTTTTGTTAAAAACATTTACACAACTTTGAAAATACCTTTCTGAAATGAAAGCTCAGGGTTTTTGTGGATTGAGCATCAGTGAAAATTAACTAGAAACATTCTTGTTTTGTGTGTCCAAAGAATGCTTCTCAACACCGTCGGTCCTGTTTTTTTTTTTTTTTGGTAGAGTTGCAGTGTGGCAGAAGGGAGATTTAGTAGGAATGACCTAGTTGCAAAATGTTATGTCTTACTTCCGGGTTTTTAGTAACAATCCCAGTTCGGTATGTTATTCAACTGCATTGGATATGGACGTGCCAGCATTTCAATATAATTTCTGGATTTAAACTCACCTGGATTGATAAAGGAGTGCAATATTTTACATGCGTGCCCAATGCCCATTTTTAAACAGAAGTATCCAAGAAATCTTCAGTGTATGTGCATTTTATTCAACATGTGGTTGGGTCCAGGCCTGCTTGAGAAGTCAAAATCCGAATCTGACTTTGCCATTTCTTATCCCTGTTCGTGCATGAACTGATATCACAGAGCGTAGTGAGCATATATTGGAATGTAGAAAGTCAGTGGACCATGACAATTACAGTCATGCATATCACCGGTGGTGAGAAGAGTCCAGGGTGTGCGCAGCCGACAGGAGATTGCCTGCAATCCAAATAAACTCAATTTCTCGTGCGATGACAGGAAGGACGTGTATCATCATATCAGCCCTGACCTTGCGGACCTTCCCTTCACAGCTTTGCCTGTCTCCGCCCGCGCAGGCCGCGCTTGTATATTTTGGTATTTACGCAATTTGTCTGATGCAGTGCCTGCAGCCAGACGGAGTCGCAGCTCGCACATTTTTCTACAGAGTGTCGGTTATTGTAGGTACTTCTGCAGACTCTTCACTCTAAATGAGTCGGCCAATCACATCCTGCGGTCCAGAGATATCGACTGCTTTGAGTGCTTAAAGCCAACCTAGCCTCCATGGAGATCCAGGGGTGATGCGTGGATCAGCATGTGACTGGTTTAGTTTGTCCTGACTCAAAGTAGTGACTCAAACAAAATACTGCAAAATCAATTAAAGATGTGGGTTGTACATGTTGGTAACTCACATTTACCTGAAGTAGTTTGTGTGGGCTACTCTCAGCATTGAAATTCCCAAGTGGGTGTGTTGGAGAAAGGCAAAACTTCCATAGCCTCTCAGGGGGAGGGGCCATGTGATGTCCAGCATCCGGGGGGGGGGGGGGTGCTCATGTATGCCATAATAGCTTATAAAAAAGCCTACAGTACACGTACAAATATTAACTTGGTTGTTCAGGGCATTGTTGCTTTTTTGGCGGGCAGATTTTTTTGGGTCATATTGTTATCCAAAACTTACCCCAATCGAATAGTGTTATCACTTAGGTGTTTTCATCCATTTACAGAGATACTAGACGATTTGTCAAGGCACGTCACCAAGACAGACTCCAAAATTGTCCGGGAGACCAAACACATACGGACCGTCAGCCAGAAAGCTAAAGATTGCTGTAAGTATCCAACGCAATCAGTGAATTTGGCCAGGTGTTATCTGAACTAGATATCTTATCTAGTCACATCAGACTATGTTGATAAGCTGTAAATCTAACTAGGACGTCTCTGGAACAGTGTGCAAGAGTGATACACATTTCTTGAGTTTAAGCACAGATTTAAATTTATACACACAGTTGTATTTTTGTTTTTTTTTTAAATAAAAAAGAAACATTTGTTGTTGTAAGCCTCTTCAGTGTGTCAAATGCTGGTGAGCATATGAAGACTTCTTGATTCTAATCCCACATTTAGTTGACTCTGAAGTCAGACTCATTCAATCCTGCATCAACTCACCCAAGCTCGTTTGGAAGACTGTCCTCTGAGCCCCGCTGTCAATTGTAGGTCAACATTTAAAGAGCAACCCAAAGGAAAACATGTTTTCTCTGGTTTTATCTGTTCAAATAAAAAAAATAAATCTTGGCATGAACAGAAAAAAAGCCCTTTTTAGCTGGTTGTAGTTGAGCTCTGAAGACAAATGACACTACGTTTGATTTTGATGCTTCCATATTTATTTGAACGGATAAAATCAAAGAAAAATGTTTCCTTTGAGTTGCTCTTTAAAGCCTCCGTATTTTACAGCTGTGTGCTTTGTACCCACACTCTGTTGAAAGGACTTCCCCTTGTTTGCCAAACATGACAGACTCGGGTGGCGCAGTGCTCAGTAACGATCAAGAACAAGCGTAAATCGCGGGAAATCCACCCGATTGGGGATGACGAACATGTGTGTGAATTATGCCAACATCCCTCCCTCCCTTTGCACAGCTTCCTGTCCCAGTCATTGTTAACAACCACACGGAAGCTTTTTTTTAAAGAATTGGATTCCTGAGGGAAGGCACCCTCAGCCGACTTTTTTGGCATAGATGGAGGGCAGAATCATCCCTCCGGAAGTCACGCCATTCAGTGGTCCTTCATGTTGTCCTCAGTTGCAATCAGTCAGGTGTCTGTTACTTATTGGCATTTTCTAGGAGCTGGAGGTCGCAGACGAGCTCACACTTCAGAGAAACTCTTTAATAACAAACTTCTTGATCTTGACGGGGGGCAATATCTCAGTCAGTTTAACTTTTGGGGGACAGTTTTTTGAGTAATCTTTTGGTTTGAGATCATAATAAACTTATCTTGCCAGGAGATTTTAATAAATCATAGAGAAAGACCCTAATCTGACATTGTCAACAAATTTGATTTAAGTCTGATTAAAGTTTGACTCACGATTCTCCTCCCCCCCCCAAAAAAAATAAACCTCGGGCAAGCAACCTGTCGCTGAATTTCATTTAATTTAACAAAAGTCTTAGATATTATAGTGAAAAGGGCTGATCCTCAAAGCTTTAAGGGTAGCTGCAATCAATGTTTTTGATTACAAATGGTAAAATGCACCTTTGTGCTTATGTAAATGTTATTTTCAACTTTGGTTTCACTATATAAAGGGGTATTTTAATGCCTTGTTGGTTTTATGCTTATGGTATTTCCATATTCATAAATAAAATTATGATGTCATCTCAGGAAGAAGCCTCAACATTACATTGGTTTGTGCACAAAAAAGCCTGAATTTTGTGGATTTTTCTGGACCAATTTTTCTCTTCTTTGATGATTCATTGTTGTTTATGTGCATAGCAATAAGAAACCACCGCTTTCTCTCTCAGAAATATTTTCAGTTAGCAAATTCTGGGTACACAATTTTAAAATAAATACTTAGCATGCACTGAACCATGTCTTCCCTAGATGACTTCACAGCAACAGCGCCCTCATTTGTCCGGGAAAACATGGATGATTTTGGTTGTTTGAAAGTGTGCACTTCTCAATGCATTTAACCGAACGAGAGTGCGTTAGAGTTCTCATACACTGGAGAAAAATAAAGAGATACAAAGAAATTGTGTCAAGGAAAAATTCATTGCAGCTACACTTTAAAAACCTTGGGGCCCAAATGTCCTGCATCTCAAATTGTGTCTGTGTCGATGTACTTTTACAGTGTATGCTATCTGGGGATATTTTATAAATTTGCTGAAATAATATGCCAATACATACGTCCAAATAACATCTTTTGGGATCATTTGAGAACCTTCCAATGTACAACTGTAAAATTACCCTTAGATATCAATTTAACCTTTCCTAGAAAGTTGTCCGCTGAGACAACAATCTGGATCTGGTAAATTCATATCAACAATCGTCATGCTTCTGTCCAAGGAGAACACTGTTTGCCTTTTTTCTTGCACGGCAGTTGCACCTATGAAATCTAGAAAATACTCATGCATGTATTTGCTGAAAACAGCAAGGTACACTTCTTCGTGCGATGTTTTGTTTTATTAAAGTCGTGTATCTTTAAGTTAAAGAGGCAGAGAAATGCCTCACAGAAAATTGTTAGAAATCCTAGGCATATGCCTGTAAATTGTTTCCTCAAAATGTCGGCTTCTGAGGGGGTTTCTTAATGTTTGACTCTTTGAGCTTTCATTCAAAGTAAAAATAAAAATTGGGAAATTGATGTTGTGGGGTACAAGTAGCTGGTCAAGTCTGGAGCACCCATGACCTAGTTTTACTAAAGCCTAATTTCCCTTACAAAACAAAGGGCGGTGATTCGTCCTTAAATGTTCCCGACCGTTTTGACTAAGCCTCAACTTTCCCCTTCCCTTCACCAGACACCTGCAACCACTTTGGTTGTGGACGGAACTTGGGGAGGGGCCAGGTTGGGCTCCCTGGAGGATTCGATGGAGATTGTGTACACGGCCTCCGAGTGGCTGAATTGAATCCGGACAGAAAATGTCTTGATCACCATCTATTTCTTTTGGGGGATGATAAACCAAGGGCCTAATCCATTGTAATTATTACCAGGAGTCACTCTGGATGACAACCCTCATCTGTCTTGACCATCATCAAGTCCTTGTCATACGGGGCCTCATCAGAATTAAATTTTGTTTGTTGTTCCCTCCCACTTCCACTTTCTTCAGTCCTGTCATCAATAGCCCTTTCCTCATCCAATGCAGTCAAATTACAGGAATGTTTTTGGTCATTGTATGCATTATGATAATATTATATCTCAGCGCTGAGAATTTGTTAATGTGATATATCATCATACAGGAATTTTGGACATCTCATAGCCAGTATTTGTGGTCCATCTGTCTCTCATTATCCTTGGAGGCCAAAGGAATATTTATAGGCTCTAAAGCTTAATTGAATATTGTTTCTAACTTAAGCTAAGGCAGGTGTATGAAGCAGATTTGGTTCCTTCAAATCTCAACAAATTGCTTTCTTTCTATAAGTACACAGCGAGGGTTTTGTTGGGATTTGTAAAGTTTTATGCGATTGTGCCAAAAAGTGTATAATGATCATTAGTTAACCACATACAAGGTCAGCGTAAAAAGATGCATTTCTGCTTTTGTTTAAAACTTTAACATTTCATGTAATGCCAGTACATATATGTGTGTCTGAAGGTTAGATGGTTGTTGAGATTGTGGCAAAAAAAAAGTGTGAATCCTCGACCTGCCTCATGTACCGTAGAGTACAGAAAGTGATCAGAAATATTACTCTGGTTCCAACGAAGCTTCAACATCCGGCCCGTGTTCTGGGTTATAAGTAGTAACAAGGTTAAATGACCACATGTAGGAAGATTAGAATCTATCTGTGTACATTCTTAATGGCTTCCTTTGTACATGTGATTCGTCACTCCCAAATGAGTAACACATTTCTTTGTAAATGGGCCTTTCCATCAAGTCACATCACTGGAAAACATGCCACTCTGTGGCTTGGCGTAGGGCCAGGTTCTGCGCTGGTTCCATCCATTGCATTGTTGTAGTGATCCATTGTTCTTGTGAAACAATCTTGTTAAATCCCCAATCATCGTTAAATCCCAAATTACCGTTTTTACTGTGAGACTTAATTTGGTACGCACAGTCATCCCTATAGTGACTCAGCAGAGAAAACATCTGTGCGTGTATTTAGATTGTGAAATACTGAATGCTTTTTTAGGGGAGAGACTATGGCAAAGACTATGGTAAAGACTGTGGCAAAGACTGTGGTAAAGACTTTGGCAAAGACTGTGGTAAAGACTGTGGTAAAGACTGTGGTAAAGACTGTGGTAAAGACTGTGGCAAAGACTATGGCAAAGACTGTGGCAAAGACTGTGGCAAAGACTATGGCAAAGACTGTGGTAAAGGCTATGGCAAAGACTGTGGTAAAGACTATGGCCCAAGACTGGAGGAACTGTATATTGATGGTGCTGTGACTGCTCCTTAAAGTGCGAGTGTACAAGCTCTGCTTGAGCAGAGGATAGAGATTTCAGCTGAATGTGCACAAAGCCACGGCATCAAACCCAGGGCCTCAACTGACTTCTCTCGCCTTGAGCGTGGGCCTCACGCATTTCATGTTTTTCTCGTACTTTCACATCCCTACGGAAAGTCTCATGTGAAAAAAATGTAGGAATAAAAACCCAACTAAGATTTAGGGGAATAAATGAGATGATGGTATACGTATGTCTTCACAGGGACATCTGCATTTGTTGTTTCCATTGCAGCATTCTACGTCGTCATCATTCTTCTCCTGATTGCCATTGTTGTCATTGCTGCCGTCCCCAGACCATCATAGCCTCCTACAGCAGCAGACTGCCCTTTATCGCTATGGCGACTGCTCATCCTCATCCAGCACTGCTACCGTAGCAACCAGAAATGTGTAATCAGGTGGGACAAAACATAGGGGAAAGAGCGAAGATGCCCAAGGGGGACAGTGAAGAATGGTACACTTTCATGCGATATTAAGCAGTGTGCTCATTTGTGGGACCTCATGGTTTAAAAGGTAATAGTCTCTACATTTCTTGGCAGATTTGCACAGAGCCATGACAACTTACAAGTGACCCGCACACAGCTCTTTAATCATGGCAATTCCTGCCCTGGGAGGTATAATAATAAAATCCTCATTGTTAATGAGTCATAATTGAGAAATAAAATGATGTCGCTGGGCACGTGCCGAGGGGATAAGTTCAACATAGCCACATTCTTGTTAAAGCTGTTTTAACCAATACTTGAACCTTTGAAACTCTCAGACTTTTTGGGGGGGAATAGCTAGACGATGTTTTCTATTATGCAGAATAAACAAATCGTCCACTATCTCTCGGTGATTCTGCACTCTGAGTTCTGTCATATGTGGGGTTTGAACCGTAGTTTGAACACTGTCCCAGTATCTTCATCGCAATCTTAACCTTATGACGTCTGACACAATTAAGATCTAAGCCAATCAGCGAAGATGGCAACGTACAATTCCAGAGTATTTGAGGATGCTTTCTCACGGTGAAAGAAATCCAGAGGTGCAGTAAGGTGTTCCAAGGGCATACCCAAGGCATACACGTTATCACCACCAGTGGTGATAGTGTGAAGGAAACAGGTGGGTCTGGACCCTTCCATGTTCCAAAAATACAGATCCTTACTTGTTATACAGGCTAGATTGTCATTCAGTACCAAGCCCTGTCAATATTCAGACGATATGACAATATGATTCCCGATATTACAGAAGTTGATATTCACCCGTTTGCAGAGCTTATGTCGCAGAAAATGACAGAAACTTACTCAGAAAAAAAATGGTCTTAACGCATCATATTTGGCACCAACCAACATCTGTTGTAAAAATTACTTGTACGTATGCGTTAATATGCACTCATGATTTGTAAATACGAGAAAATATCTATGTATATAAAAAATTGGAGAGACGTAAGTTTACAGATATCTCTCTATTTTTCCCCCCGATCTGTGCACAGGTAAATTCAGGAAAACACAACCCAGAAGTAGAACTTGCCCTCAAATTGACATTAAACTTTGATGGGCCAGGTTTTCAAATTGTTTTCTTTTTATCTTTTTATACCAGCTGAATCCATTTCTAGTGCAGTTTGTCGGAATTTCTTTTATTTCTTTAGAAATCGAAAAGATACCTTGAGATTAGAAAAGAAAGCTACCTTCCTTTTTATCGCAGTACCATCAGATATTTTGTACTTTATGGAAAACAGAGATTTGCTTCTTATTAATTAGCAGTTGGTAACAGTAAAATGTCTCAATAAATGAAAATGCCGAATGACATCGTTTCTTTTCTTTTTCTGTTTGCTCATTTTGCCTCTTTTTTGTTTACTCTTCACCGTTTGAACATTTTATTCATCCAGCTCAACTCCCTGAGTTTTCCATTTTCCTCTTTGGCTTAATTTCTTTCCCTTCAGTCTTTGCTCTTTCCTGGTTTTTGTTCTATCCCCTGACTCTTCCCTAAGTTCGTTTGACCTGCACCCCCCTCTCTTTCCCCGTCCATCTCTTCCTCTTTCATGTTTCTTTGCACCTCTTTCCTTGTCTTTCCATGACTTTTACACATCACCTTGCCTACACTTTCCCTTTTCGTCTCCTTTAACTGACGTTTTCCCTGCATGCCTCTCCCCGTAGCGCCACTGTCCTGCCACTTTGCCCCCTTTTCCCGCCACCCTTTAGTTTTTACGTGCCTCTTCGCCCCTCATTCTCTTTCGATCGTTTTCCCTGTTCACTACTGTTCCTTGGTTTTCCTTTCCTCATTTCCCCGCTTTTTTATACCACTTCCAGACATTTTCCTTGTTTTTCTTTACCAGCTTTACCCGTCTTTCCCAGCTCTTTTAAACGTTTTTCAGGCCCTGTCTGTATTTTACCCATATCTCTACGTCCTTTTCCGCCAGGTTCTCCCGTTTTTCCCCATTTCCCTTCATTCTCGATCTTTCCCTCTCCTCCGTTGTCTGTCTTTTCCCGCCTATATTAACTCCCTTTCCGTGCCACCTCCCCCCCCCCTTTTCTGTGTTTTTCTGTATTTTGTCTCGGTCGTCTTCCCTATGTTCCCATGCTTGTCTTTTCGGGTATGATTTGCCGTCTTCGATCTCTTCACTAAATTTTCTCTTTTCTTCCAACTAACCTTCGGTTTCCCTTCGCTTTGGCATCGACTCTGGGAGGGTCTATTTATTTTTAAGGTGCGATTCACATGGAAACATGGAACATTATCGTTTGATATATTTTTAAATTCATATTTATGTATTTTAATGACTAAATGGAAAAAGAATCCTCCATGATCTGGACTCTCAGGAATCAGGGACCAAAAGCAAATTCGAAGTTTAAAACTTGGCTCGAAATTTGGGGGCAAAATCTTCCAAGAGCTTTGATGTGCATGACTACGTGTATTATGTAAAGTTTTTAAGTGTCTTGGTGAAATAGCTAGAGAACCATGTCATCATTTTCCCAGTTTTTCTTTCAGCAGAACATTTCTGTCTTGTCGATTCCTCCCAATAGCATTTTTTTGTTCATCAACAGTAAGCATTTGCGTAAAAAATAAGTTTCAACGAAGTGATACCAAGCCGAAGAGCGTGAATGATACTGAACTTACAATTTCTTTCCGCGACGCCTCTGTTTCAGAGACAGAGACGTGATGTTTCGTGAGCCTAAACACAGGAACTTGCGTCAAAGACCCGTATGCGTCTTCGTGACAGTTACAGGAAAACTTGAGAATATTCGAAATCTGACTGGAAATATGGCGAATAATTTATTCTGGCAGCCTCACAATTGTTAGGCCAACTTGGGAATTCTTCATTCGTTAGAGCTACGGTTTCGCTTCCGTAAGCTAAGAATTTCAGTTTGGAGGAAAATGCAATTTTTAGTCGAAGCGATGTAAATTCCGCTGTGTTTTTTTTTTTTTTTGCCTTTTCGAGTGACGAGCTGAACATGAAACGTTTTTAATTTTTTCTAGTTACTTGGTCGTATACAATAAAACATTTTTGCTGAACTATATTTTTCAACGTAATAACAATTCGCTTTGCGTTTGCATTGCTCGAGGAAAGTTTGATAAGCCTATTTTCCCCGAACTTTATATTATTTTCTAGTTGATCATCAGTCTTCCTTAATTTCCAAATTGTATTTGGAAATTAAAATTCTTGACGGCTTTCAGATTCTTTGCGCAACGTCAAATTATATATGACGGCAATAAAAACTGCTAACGTGTGCATCCAAAACGTCCAGTGTTGTTGCATTTTAAGCAATAAATTGGGAACTTTAATTATTTGCGCTGGCGTGAGATATTTCACCAAAGGTTTGTGTATTACGTTCACACAAGTAAATGAGTTTGAAAATCAGTTCTTGCGGACAACACGTCATTACAATCTATTGAGTGTCACAGAAAGTGCGCTTTTTTGTTCAAAAATATAGTACAGAAATACTAACTGTATAATTCGTATAGAATAACCGAACATTTTTGGATTTTTGATGAGGTGAAATCTCTGTTAGCTTCGTTTCATCTATTAGGGCCTACTTGAACAAATAGATATGGAACAAAATGGTGAAACATTTTCTTAAGCTAAGAACGTATTGGGCCAACTAAACTAAACCTTGGTCGTAGGCTTTCCATATTTTTAAGCACCATCAAGTATTTTCTCCCACCCAAAAGAAATTAAATTTGAAGGCAAAGGCCCTTGGAAATGTACACAGAACGCTCCTTAAGAAAAAAAGGGAGAAGTCTCGCGCGCAGAATCGTTACCATCGAGCGTTGTCAAGGGAAAAAAGCGCATGCGCGCGGACTTAATTTTTTTTTTTTTGTAGGCGGATTTTTGTACCGAATATATATATATAACATCCGAACACTTATCAAATAGAAAGAGTGTGTTGGCTTAACGGTAAGCACTTGAGCGCTCAGTCTACACGTTGTGGGTTCGATCCCCACTTTGGACCTTATTAGGCATTTTTACTTCTTTTTACATGTTGTAACGGGTATTAAAAAAAAAAAGAAAATATTATTTATTTTGCCGACGCTGGGGCTCGAACCCAGGACCCTTCGCTTCCAAAGCGACACTTTTTCTTGGTTCCCACCCTGGTCCCCCAGGGAGAAATGCTCGTTCTATATATTTATCTAAAAGGTTAGGCGAAGGCCGACCGAAAAAGAAAGTCCACCCACTTGGATTCGAACCCACGAGTCTCGGGAGCAGACGTTCAACTACAGCCCTGGCTGCCCAACCTACCAGGCCACGGGCACGTCTTAGATCGTCAATGGAATTATGGATATACAAGGCATCGATTTTCGACCTGCGATTATTGGACTTGATACGGGAAAATGTATTGCGCCGCCAACTTTACAAAATTCGGGGTTTGAAAGGGAATTGGAAATACGTCTAGTATCATTCTGTGTGTGCAGGTTTATGGAAAAGAACCTTCGGCAATGTTCGGCCGGAATCAAAATCGCGATCTTCGGATTTGAGTTTTGGGAGGTTCTGGACGACACTGAATCGTAGTTGGTTGTAAGTTTAAACTTGGTAATAAGTCTAAAATTAAAAGCCTTCAATCCGACGACTTTTCTCCATGATTTTTTTTTTTTTTTGGTTCTTCTTTTAAGGGCAGAAATGCCACCAACACCAACAAAATACCGTGGGATCAGCGCTCGAATTGGAATATACTCTGCAATTTCTTCCTGAGGAAAGAAAAAATGTTTCACCAACTCCTGTATCCTGCCAACTGTAATGCTTAAACTTAAAAACACATAATGCCATCATACGGAGTTGGTTATTTTAATGTACAGTTTTATTAATATATATGTTCAATTGGTGGGAGTTTTACATTTTTTTTTTTGATTGAAGCGCTAATACTGAGCAGTTACACTGAAGGCAAAAACTGAAAATGTTGTGAATACAGTGAATGTCCCAAATATGAATTTTACAAGTTCTGCCTTTTCGAAGGCTTTTTTTACAAAATGACACATCTTACAATCTTACTGTCGGTGTGAATGAAACATGTGGATGTGTTTTTATAATTTTATCGATTCTGTAAAACACGATATCCTGTTTATACCACAGAAACTAAAAAGGATAGTTTTGTGCATGTACATCTCAACTTATCAGGGTTTTGACAAGTGACTCATTACAAAAAAATCAAATATGTTCCAGTATCCATCAAAAATATGGACTGTTTGAGTTGTAGGTAAAGGTGGGGTCTCGTCAGTAGATGAATAATTCAAGGCCAAGTCAAGTTTTAAATTCACTTGTAACTTGTCAGTGATTTAAACCGAAAAGTCACCAATTCTTAGATAACACCACCAGATGATTATAAAGTTCATGGATGTCTGCACCTGTCCGTACATCAAGTAGGATGAGCAGGCATTCTAAAAAATGTCTAAACGAGTGAACAATTTACCTCCAACTTATGGAAACTGTGCAAAAGCTATCTTTGATAAATACGCTATCCACTTAGAAAGATTAGATTCTTATGAAACTCATATTTGGGACTGATAATTGAACGCTGTGAACTGAGTTCAGCTGGAAGCGTGCACAGATTACGCACACAAATTTTGGTCACTGTGATGCAAGCAAGCCGTCATTGCAGCCCAGTTTGCTTGAAGCTCAAATTACATTTTATCAAAAGTCGACTAGAAATGTGCAGAGTAGCTCTGTCTTAAATTCTCTTTTAAAAAATGAAGAAAAAATGGAGGTAAATTTCTGCTATTGAAACGTCAATACGACATGTACACAGCTTTCCTGTAACACTTATCCAATTAGCAACATAGAAAAGACCCCAACAAAATTTAAACGTAAGATATGTAAGATTAAATAAACAGAAAAATCTATGTACAAACTGAAAAGTAGAGTTTTTAAATAGATACTGGATATGATAAATGAAACTTTTTCGTTCATAAAAAAAACAAATCAATTAAATGTCTGTGATTAAGGCGCAGAAACTCGAAAGCAGTGCACCAGACTACACGCCTGTTGTTTTCAAGTGAAAACACAAGTCTGGAAGCATGTATCTTAGAGGCATAATGCTGAAAAGAAAAAGGAATAAAACCACCTGTGTCAGTTTCTACAACAGTAATATTAAACAACGCACAAAATAGTATACAGCTATGCATTTTATATGATACAATTGTGCTGCCTTTATACATTGCCCTTCAAACTGTTATTCTCTAAAATATCTCTTTTAAACAATTTCTCATTCAAATACTATTCACATATCGTAAAATCAGCCTTGTCCGGGTTCACACAATATTCTGTACTGCTTTGAAACATAACAAAATTAGTAGGACACAAGTTTTTGAAACATGTTTAACCCCAGCCGAAAGATTTGAAACGAAATAACAGAGATGTCTCCAATGGTTCAATTTAAACAATTTGGAGAAACTTTATGTTTCAGTAATATGACCAGAATATGTAATATCTCCTTAAGGTATTCTAGGAAAAAGAAGGGAGTAAAATATTATATGAAGATATAACACAGATTTTTCAGATTTGACTGCATTTTTATCAAGATTACAGCAAAGAAAAATTATGTGTTAAACTTGAGATATAGCAAAGGTTTAACCTTAAACGAGCCAATTTTGGGGGGAGTAGTTTTTGGTTTGAGGTATATTCCAACAGCACCAACTCCTGCAGGAGTTCAGCTGTCTAATGACCAATCTTTCTTAAACTTAAAGATACACTCATTGTCAGCATATCTTGAAAGCTTCAAATTCATCTGACAAAGGGTTTTGTAAGTGTGGCCATTTAAAGTTCTTGCTCTCGCGTGTATTGGTCGATACACTGAGCACAGGTCATCAAGGAAAGAGTCAAAATTTGAAGGCTCTGAAACATGGAATAACGGTAGGTCCGATGTTCATAAAAATGGTGTTGAAATGACTGCAAGACATAAGCAGAAACATTCCTGACGGCTAAGTGCAAGTAAAAGGTCTATTACATCGACATCTGATAAAATATACAAGGGGTTCCTGCCTCTGGAAATCTGAAACATACTGCATTTTCTTCAATACCAGTCAGCGTTGGTGATGTGACTCCAGCTGATCAATATCTGCCAAGATATTATTATGCATGTACTTTTATTTTACCGTCTTACTACAGGTTACAAACAAATGATAAACATTTTTATGTTCAGTTGTTTCCGGAGGATACGTTGAAGAAAAACAGATACTGTGAGAGGTACCAGCCTACTTGTCAAAACACAAGCCTCATCAAATTTGGGTCCGTCGACACCAATGTTTAAAAAAAAAGATTTACAGAAAAAAAAGACAATTGCCTCCTGAAACCAATCCACAAAAAACCAGGGCATCAAAGTCACTGTCAAGATTTGGAAATCAGCCTCCCCCAAAATTCTGCCTTGAATGGCGGGACAAGGTGTGCCAAAGCTAAGAACCGCCTCGATGGACCGCAAACGCTTGACCTCGTTGCCAAAGCTAGCAGTCACGTGCCTTCCGTCGGATCTTGCGCATGCGCCGGTTCCAGTCGTCCCGCCACTGCAGCACGATGCTCTTGCTGTCGGCGTACAGCCCGTCCTGGTCAGGGTTCTCGTTGTTGGCCCCCAGGATCAGGTACTTCTTCCCCAGTCGCAGCTTGGGACACTTGCAGGTCAAGTCCTGCCGGGGGACAAAGAGGAACTGGTCACCCCGCCGGATGCGCTGGCTGCCCCTCTTGAAGACCGACATCACGTTGATGGTGAACTTGACAAATTCCTCCCCCATCTCCCTGGACAGAACGTGGGCCTGGATGACTGCAAGTTTCAAACAGGAAGAAGACAATAAGAGCAGTTAGTAATGACACATTCCTAGAGGCTGGTCTACACTTGGTGCAGAAGTGAGCATGAACGCCGCCAGATCAAACATTATTGCTGCAAATTCACGAGAGTTGATCATATTTCAACCAGAGCAAATTTCACTGCCAATGTTTCATTTTGCTATTTTTGCTATATATACTTGACTTCAATTCTTTTGGAAGAACTTAAAGGAGGAAGAAATGTAACCGTCCAACTTTTTTGTTATATAAAGATTTAACAAATCTATCCGCCAAAACTCCATCAACCTGCTTTTGGTTCTGGTGAATTCATAGCAATTTACATGTAATGGTACTAGAGACCTATAGATGGTTTGAATGGCTGCCATCTTGCAGGCCAGTGCTTTGTTCTACACGGATGCACAAAGGACGCTTCCCGGTGGAACAAAGGAACTGCCCTGCAAGATGGCTACCATCCAAAGCCTCTTTACTGAATCCACTGACACTATGCAGTAACTAAATGGCACATTTTTGAAAAACTTATGTGAAGATCAAGTATGATATTTGGGATGGTAAGCTCTCTTGCTGTGCAAAGCTTGTCTATAAAGCCTAGCTAGGTTTGTTATTACTGGCTTATTTCCTCCACAAAGAAGTCCGACAGCTGAATTGCATGGTACTCCAGAAAAATTATTCCATTAAGACTGAAAATCATGTAAGAGGCAATTAAGTTGATTAAGAAGTGTATGACAGTTCTTTGCATAATGTGGTCTCCAAGACTCAAAAATTTGCCCCTGGATACAGAGTTTACACAAGAGCTACGAAAAATGAATAGGTCACTTCACACTTTCACATAGCATTTTCCCTACTTGGCCCATTCGTGCCATAATCTAACAGCTATGGGCCTGTCCTTGAATGTAATTGTGCCGACCTCCGACCTCCCATATATATATCAAAAAAGCTCATTACCTCTGTTTTCTTAAAAGGTTAACCTGCAAAGATTAATTGGGGGCAACATCATTTGTTTCCTTGGGAGGCTGTGGGTGCAGGTTGGGTGATGTTTTTTACAAAACCTGATGAGTATGCTGCAGACTTTTTTCCTCTCTGGTTTGTAAAAATAACACAAGATCTGATAGAAGCAACAATTTTTTGGCCAATAAAAAAACAGAATAGTGGGAAAAATTGAGCATGTCGGGCATCTGTTAGCAAAGTGAAACTTAAAGTCACTAGGCTACCAAAAACTCCATGGAATGGTCTCTGAAGGCATTACTGTTCAAACTCACCAATAAGCATCAACCTTAGATAGCTATTGATTCAATAACTGCTCAAATGACCAATTGGCGTTGACCTTAGAAAGCTGTTGACTCAGTGTCTCTTAGAGCGGTGAGAAATAATCAAGTGATGTGTCTGTCTAGTGGGAGCTGTTTTGACGAGGAGAGTCACACACCTGAGGTCAGAGGGGACAGCAGAACTAACAAATGTGGCAGCTGCAATTTAGGGAACAAGTTTCAATGAAAGAATGGAAGAGAAAAAAAAGGATTTGCCTGCAGGATTGAAACTAACTGAACTAAAAAAAAAGACACACAATCGAGCCATTTGAACTGTTCTTGAAATACATTTTTTCACCCTCAATTTAGTTCCAAAGCCGTTGCCACAATCCTTCTTTTTTAATGCTATACGTTTTGACGGAATAACTCGATGCCGTGACGGATTACGGTTGTTGATAAATGCTCTTCAAATACAAGCTCAGTGTTTAAGAACCCCGGCCCTCTCCCTTTTTTGTCGGGGCGTAGGGCCTAAGACCGTTTGGCAACAGCCCCTGGTCATTCTGCTGGATTTCCAGCCACTTGGGTTCCTTTCCCACACATATCCATAACCGCTCCCATTGTTCAAGCTCTCGCCCGCTTCTCCCCGTCCCTGATCCTGTAAACTATTTTCCCCTCAACTGACTAGAACGATGGCAGAATTCCCCCCCCCCCTTCATTCACAATCTGCTTTGATGGCTGGGCAAACAGAATTGTCCCCCGTAAACAACTTCTCCTCGCTGGCTAACCGGACAGGTTTTGGGCATTAACATTTTACACCATTTTTTAAGCCACAAGCTCAGAAGTTGGTACAGCCCAAATCTGATTTCAAAACTTGGGAAAATAAACACAGCTCTCTTAAGGGTCGAGCCTATAAATCTGATGTTCAGCCCTGTTACAAAATATATATTGGAAGGGTACCCAGCGTGAAGTCACAGAGAGGTCAATTAATTTGCTCGTTGTTGGCACCCTTTCTTCTTTGAGTAATGCCCCCCACCCTGAAGAAGGTATGACGTGCCATTTCACATTCTTAGAATGAACTTTGTCAAGCTTCACTCGTGTCACCTGAAAAGGGTGAACTTACTTAACCCACTTGGATGCGAGAAAAGCCGTACATATCAGTTGACTCACGACAATTATGGTAACATACTTTGAATTATTGATACTGAAACAAAATATCTGTTCAAGCAGCAAAGTTTTGGCTGTAAGTCTGATCTGACGTGACAGAAAACAGTTTTGGTAGTTTAAAGATTTTGCATAGGAGAAACCTAATTTCTGGAAAATTCTTAATTTCTTAAAATTGGTTGGTGAACAGATCACTTGATGCAGACTTTCTAATTATACCGCAAAAAATATCTCAATTTCTCTCATGATAAGGTCCTTATAATAAGCAGATTACGCTGTGTTTGCTGCGCAATATCTGTAAGCATACCTAAGGATGTTGCTTGCTGTGCAATTCATGAACACTGGCCCAGTTCCCATTTAATTGATTGCCCATTCTTTCAATCTGAACAGAATGAGGCACTTGGGACTACTGATCCAAGTATGACTCATCAGTTTTCAGCCCGCGGACGCGTCGCTTCGCAGCCTCCATATTTCATGTGCCGTGGTGGAACGATCTGTGCTGGCATTTTGCAACGAGCGGGGAAATGGTGCTCCGGGGCCAACTGGCAAAGAGTCACCAGCGTGATACAGGAGAAAATGAAGTGCCTCCCTCTAGCATCTCTCTGGCATCGATCGGCTTGCAAACTCATCGTGTGGGGTTTCTCTTCACAATCAATCCCAAGGTGCGGCAAATGTAAGAATGCCTGCTGGGCTGGTAGTTCATCCCTCCGATGGTAGTTTACATATGCAACCCAGCCCAACAAAATGGTTGAAAGTCCCTAGAGCCAGAGCTGCTTTCGCATTAAAGGCCAATGAAAAAAACCTTGCATGAGGAAAACCAGGAGGAATCCTCAACATTTTTTAACTACAAAATAACTGTATATATATTTGCGCAAGGATTTAAAACTCAAGTCCTGCTGCTTCAGCCAAATCCTTTTCTGAGTTTGAACAATGCTGTTTAGCAAGAAACTGTGGAAATTAAGCTATATATTATCCACAGGATGAGAACCTAAGATTTTCATCTTGGACAGGAGGCTGAGGAATGGGATACAGAGGCATGCTGAAAGTGTGGAGGCATTTGCAGGACTGAGGCCTCCGACCTGAGTCAGACTATTTGTAAATATATCAGCATGCTTACGTTAGTGTGATTTAAGGCAATTAACAGCACTGTCCTGGTGCTCCTATTTCAACTCCTTCAAATTTGTCAGCAGATGCAGCTTTTGTATTTTTCGCATCAGTCCTAGGTTACTATCTGATTTTCTACGATAGTTGAGATTCGGCAAGGGTTCAACTGCAGCACTTCATTACTGAAAGCTTAGATGCATGTTAGCCTGCAGTTTTTGCATGTATGACTCAATCCACAACCAGACGGTCCAAATTGAAGTTTGAACACGTAGACCCCATTTAGGCAAAGCTGACATGCAAGGGGGAGGGGGGGTACTCGTGGGGATTGAATGTAAGAGGCTTTATCAGTGAGCCGAGCGGAGGGACAGGTCCAGAGGATGATGAGTGGGCCCTCGAACCACTCACGGCAAATTGGAAAGCGAGTGACTAAGATCCAACATGGTCTCCGCTCCAAATCTCAAATCCCCATAATGCAAGCCTACAGATCCGCAGGGGCCAATATGGACTTCGTCATGTCAGCCTTGCGTGCATTATGTCTCATGGTTCTACCGTTACTCCCTTTGCCTCCCTTATTTCACTGTCCCTCCCAACCCCTAAGGCTTTGTGCCGATGGGTATAACCTTAACGGAGAGGGCGGGGCCCAGAGAAATTGATTCAGGTGCAAGGATGCTAAGTCGGGAAATGAACAAATTCGCCGGTTAATGTCCCAGTACCAACACACATATCCTGATTAATGTGTCCGACCGAATTTTCCTTGAGGATCCTAGGCTGTTTTGCTCCTACACGTGCATCTCAGATTTATGTGCCATTCCCGAGGGAATTGATGTTGCCAGCATTTGTTGACGTGCTGGCTGGAACTATATAGTTTGGTGTGCCTTGGTGTGGGAAATCCTGCACAAGTGGGCGTTGCCAGGAAGTGGGCATGGCCCTTTCCGAAGGGGAGGGGGTAAAGCACTCATAGGTAGCAGACAATCGATAGGGGGGTCAATCTTGCCCCCTTTCCTCTTTTGGTTTTCTTTTCTTGACCTTCTTTTTCTTCTCTGTACCCCCTAAATATGCCCACACCTCAACAATAATTGTCTCCAAGAAATATTGTCTCCAGCTCCTGGTTGGGCATCAGTCCACACTTTGCTTCACCCTCCCTATCTACCTCCACTCTGTTTACCGAGTGCATAACTATGGACCAATCCATCAAAAATCCGCCTGTTTGCAAACCAGTTGTGTCGTTCGAAATTTACAGTATCATTGCAAGCAAAAGGATTGAACTACCGCTCTTGGGAATGCTCACTGCTGAAATATCAAACACAGAGACAGCCCTTTAGTTGAGACAAGGGTTTAATGGCAAAAAAAACTACAGAGTGGTCACAGATCTGAGGCATGGTTGTATGCACGAGTGCAGACCGTTCACTGCCTGCTGATGAATCTTTACAACTGCACAACATTCTCCGGTGGAAAACACCCTCGGCAGTTC